TGTCGATTCGTCTTCTTTTAGTACCCGGCTTATGCCAAAATCCGCCAATTTCATGTGTCCAGTGATGTCGACCAGAATGTTTGCTGGTTTTAGATCTCTATGTAAGATTTTTATACCATGAAGATACTCAAGCCCGGAGAGAATTTCCTTAATCATTCGTGGTCCGTGTTGTTGCAGATGTTCAACACTGCGAAAATTAATAACCTCCCTCAAACTCTCCTCACAGAGATCAGCAATAAGATACATAAAGGTTTCGTCGCGGTAAAAGTGCCGATAGCCCAATATATATGGACAGTCCCTAGCGCTAATGAGGCTCACGATCTTCTTTTCGTTTTCAGCTGTTTTATCTTCACTTTGGACCAACACTCTCTTAACAGCAACTTCGCTTCCATCCTGCATAAGGCCAACATAGACGCACGAACCACTAGAACCTTCACCAACTTTCAATTCATTATTTGCGACGAAAGCGTGCAATGGTATTCCACTCTGTGGAAAGAAAATGGTTAACATAATGTTAGAAAAAGACAAACTAGTTTTTCAATAGGACAAGAAAATTTTAGGGTAAAGAAAAATACAACAGCATGATAACAGTAACTTTATAGATCAAATCGGGAAAGGTGCATAAATTCAAATTTGGTTCTCAAGCCCAAAATTGAACCTGCGCTTCGCCAAGCTTGTGTGAATTATAAATTTAAGACATTCATTTACGGATATAAAACTGCCCCAGAGTCACAAAGACTGGCTTTCACGGTAGATGTAGGGCAGTGGCAGGTCCAGGGTAAGTAGGAATAAATAATTTACTAACTCGCAATCATATTGGTAGATTTTTATGTAAAAATATTCTTTAGAATTGAATAACCAATAGCGTTGTTATTAAGGCATTTTTAATTGGAAATTAGGCCGTGTAATTTATTCTGACTTACCCAGAATCCGCAAATGATGTAGCATTAAAATAGTATAGCATCTCAAAAGAGTTTTGCAAAGCTTTACCTTATCTAACTGGTTGGAGTTTATCGCTTTTAACGTCTGAATTTTGTCACGATGCTTTACAGACATTTTAAGAATAGTTGTGATGTCATGATGACCTTGGTGAATGCTCCATTCCAGAAGACTCATTTGTTTTCCTTCAACAAGAATTGTTCCAAAACTTGTAATATCGAAGTTCTGTCGCAACAAAAGATTGAGCAAGACAGCAGAATTTTGAACGACAGCCATCTTTACGATGTCGATGGGGCGACAGTGAACGCCAAATATACTTTCAGGAAAAATGTCAGCACCTTTTTCCACTAAATACTTGACAATGCCAAGATCACATCGAGCAACAGCAAAGTCTAAAACTGTCTGTCCCTCAGTGTTCTCAACATTTGCATCAGCTTCTTGTCCAACTAAATACTCGATGATGTCTAATATATAAGTAACTGCATCTGCATCAGCATAAAGGATGGTCCGCCCAATAGCACTCTTTTCAATTACATTCATATTCGCGCCACTTTTTACTAAATATTTCACAATATCAAGTTGGTTTTCAGCAGGGTGTAGAATAGTCCGCCTGGCAGTATTCCTGCCATTTACCTCCGAGCCTTTTGCAACCAAGTATTTGACAATGCCTAATACATCATAAGTCATGGCAAATTGAAGAACTGTGTCCAAATAGAGTCCTCGCTCTGTTCATCAGAATGTTTCTGAACTAAATATTTGACAAACTCAAGTACACCTTTAGCAACAACAAAGTACAGAACTGCCTCCCAGTGAATATCTTTGCCATTCACACCAGCGTCTTCTTCATTTAAATATTTGACAATATCAACTACACTTTTGGCAACAGCATTGTGAAGAACTGTCCTCCCACCAATATCCTTGCCATTCACCTCAGCTCCATGTTCAATTAAATATTCAACAATGTCGTTACTTCCAACCACAGCTGTGTGGAGAATTGTGTCTCCATCAGTATCCTTGCTATTTACATTTTCGCCATGTCCAACAAAGTATTTAACAAGTTCGAGGTCCTTATTAGCAACAGCTAAGTGCAGGATAGTCCGACCAGCATTCTTGCCTTTTATGTTTGCACTATGTTCAACTAAATATTTGACAATGTCAGGTCGACAGTTAATGACAGCATAATGCATAATTGGGTTAAAATTAGGAAAATTCCTCGGTACATCTGCACCCTTGTGAACTAAATATTCAATGATGTCAAAAGCACCAATAACAACAGCAGTGTGTAGAACAGTTCTTCCAAGAGTATCCTCACAGTTTATATCCGCACCATGTTCAACTAAATATTTAACAGTTTCTAGAACACGACTGACAACTGCAGTTTGCAGAACTGTCATCTCATCATCATTCTTGGCGTTTACATTCGCACCCTGTTCAACAAGAGTTTTAACAATGTCAATATTGCTTTCAAGAACAGCTGTTTGCAGTACTGTGTCCCCGTGATTGTTCTTGCTTTTCACATTAGCACCCCGTTCAAGTAAAAATTGTATAAAGTCAGGATCACCTTCAGAAACAGCGCTATGCAGGACTGTCATTCCATCTTTATTCTTGTTATTCACATCAGCACCTTGTTCAACTAAATATTTTACTATGTCCCATGCACCTTTATAAATAGCGTTGTGGAGAATCGTCATTCCATCTGTGTTCTTGCTATTTACATCAGCGTTGTGTTCAACTAAATATTTCACGATACCAAGTTCCCTTTTGTTAACAGCAGTTTGTAGGACTGTCCACATGTCAGTATCCTTTTCGTTTACGTTAGCTCCATGTTCAATTAGGAATTTGATAATTTCAAGTTCACCTTGAGCAACAGCAAAGTGTAGAGCTGTGCTCCCATAAGCATTCTTTCCATTTACATCAGCACCCTGTTCAACTAAGTACCTGATAACATGCAATGCACACGTATCTACGGCAGCGTGAAGGACTGTCTGCCCGATGGTATTTTCTGTTTCATTTACATTCGAGCCATGCTCAACTAAATATCTCACAATGTCAAGGTCAGCTTGAGCAACAGCGAAATGTAGAACTGTCTGTCCGACAGTATTCTTGCCATTCACATCAGTACCCATTTTAACTAAGTATTTGACAATATCTAGTACGTTATGAGTTATACCAAAATGCAGAACAAATTTCCCAGCAATATTCTTGCCATTTAAATCTGTGCTGTCACTGCTGCGCCCAACTAGATATTTGACAATATCAAATATACCTATTGAGACGGCGAAGTGTAGAACGGTGTTTAAATCGGTATCTTTACTCTTCACATTGGAACCTTGTTCAACCAAATATTTTACAATGTCCAGCGCACCTTTAGCAACAGCAAAGTGCAGGACTGCCTTCCCATGAATATCTTTGCCATTTACATCAGCACCATGTTCGACTAAATACTTTACTGTATCAAGAACACCTTTAGCAACGGCAACGTGCAGAACTGTTCTTCCATCAGTATTCTTGTCGTTTACCTCGGCACCACTTTGAACTAAGTATTTGACAATGTCAATGTTACTGTTAACAACAGCAGAATGTAGAACTGTGTCTCCATTAGTATCCTTGGCGTTTACATTTGCCCCATGTTCAACCAAATATTCAACAATGCCAGATGTACCATTGGCAACGGCAAAGTGCAGTATTGTCCTTCCAACAGCGTTTTTGCTATTTACATTTCCGCCACGTTCAACTAAATATTTGACAATGTGAAGTTCGCCCTTAGCAACAGCATAGTGCAAAATTGTGTCTAAATTCAAAGATTTGCCTTGTACATCGGCATTCTGTTCAACTAAAAAAATTACGACATCAAAGACGCCAATAACGACAGCAGTGTGCAAGACAGTTCTTCCATAAATATCCTCACCTTTTACATCAGCATCGTGTTCTACAAGATATTGAACAGTGTCCAGTGCACCTTTAACTACTGCAGCCTGAAGAACTGTCATCCCATCATTTTTCTTAGCATTTACATCAGCGCCCTCTTCGACTAAACTTTTGACAATGTCAAGATTACTATTAACAACGGCTGTGTGCAGAACTGTGTCTCCATAACTATCCCTGCCTTTCACATCAGCACTTTGACGAACTAAATATTCGACAACGTCTGGTTCACCCACAGCAACAGCACTGTGCAGAACTGTTCTTCCGTCATTATTCTTTCCATTCACATCAGCACCTTGTTCAACTAGATATTTTATAACATCAAGTGCACCTTTATAAACAGCAGTGTGCAGAACTGTCCACGTGTCATTGTCCTTTCCATTTACATCGGCGCCTCGTTCAGCTAAATATGTCACAATGTCAATTTCACCTTTAGTAACAGCAATGTGCATGCATAGCTGTCGTTCCGTCGGTATTTTTGCAATTTACATTGGCACCCTGTTCAACTAAGTACTTGACTATGTCCAATACATGCGCATTTACAGCTGCGTGAAGGACGGTCTGCCCAAGTTCGTTTTGGCTATCTACATTTGCCCCGTGTTCAACTAAATATTTGACAACTTCAAATTGACCTTGAGCAACGGCAAAGTGAAGAACCGTTTGTCCGGAGGTATTCTTGCTGTTTACATTGGCGCCATTTTCAACCAAGTATTTGATAATGTTCAGCACATCGTAAGTAATAGCAAAGTTTAGAATATTGTGCGCAGCAAAATTCTTTCCTTTTAAATTTGCCTCATGTTTAACTAAATATTTGACAATGTTATATACTCCTATAGCGGCAGCAAAGTGCAGAACTGTATCTAAATTATCATCCTTGCTCCTCACTTCGGCACCTTGTTCAACTAAATATTTGACAATGCCAAGTACACCTTTAGCAACAGCAAATTGCAGAACTGCTTTTCCGTGAGCATCTTTACTGTTTACGTCAGCACCCCGTTCAACTAAATATTCAACAACATTGAGTGCTCCTTTTGTAGTAGCAATATGCAGGACACTCCTACCGTCGGTATTCTTGATATTTACATCTGCACCATGTTCAACCAAAAATTTTACAATGTCAAGACTACTTTTTAGGACAGCAGTGTGAAGAATTGTGTCCCCGTCCGTGTCTTTGCCATTTACATCAGCACCCTGTTCAACTAAATATTTGACAACGTCGGGAACGCCTTTACTAACAGCAAAGTGCAGTATTGTCCGATCAGCAGAATTCTTGCTGTTTACATTTCCTCCATGTTCAACCAGGTATTTGACAATGTCAAGTTCACCTCTAGCAACCGCATAGTGAAGTGCTGTTTCCAAACTACTAGAATTGCTCAGAATATCAGCACCCTGCTCAACTAAATACTTGACAATGTGAGGTGAACCAATAATTACAGCGGAGTGCAACACTGTTTTCCCGTGAACATTCGTTACATTTACGTCAGCACCACGTTCGACCAAGTATTTCACAGTGTCTAGTACACCACTAACGACAGCATTATGCAGAATTGTGCACTTGTCAGCATCTTTTCCAATCGTGTCAGAAACTTTTCCATTCACGTCAGCATTCTGTCTTATGAAGTACCTTTGAATCGTTAGCGCCAACAACGTGCAGAGCTAAACAGATATTTAAAAAATTGTATAGATTGAAATGAGTTATAGATTTTTGCTCCTATGATATGTTATATCATTATGTTTTAATGAAGCAAAATATCAAAATTTGGTAGTTTTAACAAGGGTATTTCTCACCATTGTCTTTAATATTCGAAACTATGTTTCCTTGGTCCTTTTCAGCGCTTTCCTTTTTTTCTTTATCATGATTCAGCTGTTTAACCTCGAGCTCAGCAAAACTCTCCGTTTCTTCTGATGTTTCCAAACAATGCTTTTTCACCTTGGTCAATGCCATGTCCTCTGGCTTTTCGCAGATACTAAGGCATCTTCAGCCACAGAGAATCAATAAAATCTTTGATGAGTATCTTCGAATTTTGAGTAGAGAGTCTGAAATAAAGTGTGAAAGAATGTTTACTTGAGGTGATGGAAACTGGAATCGTGCAAGGAAATGGATGATTACTCTTAAAAAAAGCCGGAAAGAGCATGCATCCGAAAATTAGAAGTTTTGTTGCTGTGTGTTAAGTAATACTAATTCAAGAACGTAGCACGGGGAGCCCGTTTGAGATATTTTTGAAGTAAATATTTCGCAACCAAACTTTCTTATTTTACTAATTTTGAAATGCTCTTACCAGCTGTAACACCTGCACCGCTAAGTATTGCCAGTTTCGAATTTAGGTTAAAAGAAGAATAGTACATTGGGCAATTCTTCTGGATTTTTTTTTTATTTGAGACATTTGAGGATTATGCGCGTATCTTAAAGAAGTTTTCTTATATTTGACATGCAGGCACCTAATATGACAAACAGGACATGCTATTATGCGTACTAATTACCAGTTGTTCATGATGTTAATGAGTACCCCATTACCTTGAGACTACTTCACTTTGGTATCACGTTACTATTACTATATATTTAATTTGCCCTTTGATTATTATTGCTGCGGAGCGAGCGAGCCTGAAGCGAGCGAGCGTAGCAGCAGTCTAATTTGTGCAGAGAGGGGGTTCTGAACTAAATTCTATTTAGCGCAAGGAATTGTGGTCGTGCGCGTTTTTATGCGTAGAACACAAATTTTACACTCGCTCATATCCCAAGCTTTTTGATTTCGATGGACAGGATCTTCAAATTTTTGTTAAATTTTAAAGCTTCTGTTCTATTTTGACTATTCAAGGTAAGATATTTTCATCTTTCGTTCATATGTTACGTTTACAGTTGTTTACATTTTTAACTTGTATATTTATGAAACGCGAAAAGCATGCATACAATCGATCACAGCTAGATTCATGCTGTTTATATACGAACTATATAAATTCTTCTAGAATATTAAGATGTACTATCCAATTTGCTAATTCGCTTTCTTTAAGCAGTTGAGCTGTCAGTGCTGTGAAGCAAATCAAGTTTTACATACAGATGCCTTACTAAAAGTTATTTTATCCATTGACATTTGTATTCTTTTGCTGATTTCCATATGTTGCATCAAAATGATCAAATGATGTTTCAAGTATGCGGCTTGACGCTTGCGAGTCGTGTTTAATAACATGACACAGTCGCAGATAAAATATGCAATTGATCGTCTAAATTACCTGACTGAATCACTCAGATTCGTGCAATGTTTGACTTATTTCATATTAGGTAACTGTAAGCATAGGCATATGTTTTTATTCCTATTTTACAATGAGCTAAATATTTTTGTTATTTAGTGCTTTTACCGGATCTTCACGTGGTTTCTGATTACACGTCTTCTCGAGCGCGTTCAAAGTTCAAAGTATTAAGTGATGTTTTGTTACTCTTCACATGAAGCCAAATATTTACATGGACTCTTACAACAAAGACAAATAGCATATTTCAAAAACAAATACAATGTTACCAAAAAATGTTTTTTGCTACTGCTCAGGGCCTGTATTTTCGCTAGGCGGAATTTTGCGCCTAAACAATATTTTCTGCGCAGAAACTGAATAATACAATACTTTCGATCAACTTTGTTGCGGGAAAAATGTCGCTACGCGCGCAAAATTCTACCTAATATTACTATTATTGTTAATACTCCTGTTGTGATTCGTATGTTAAAATAGTTTTAAAACTAGCTGCTATTCTAAAGACTTTGACTTCAACGAGCTGTAACTCTCAAGACAGCGTTCTCTCCTTTACCCTTCGACAGCGGGAAAAACACTCTCGGACCCTAAAATGCTCGCAGCAATCCCTACCTTGCAGGTACCCTAGTATTATGTTTATAAAGATTTATGCACAGCAGAATGATGAAATATAAATCGTATTTCACTGTGTCAATTAATTTCATGCAATTTGACTGGACGTACGATCGATGTTTATATATCACGTGTGAAAAATGCCATACATGGCTTTTGATTGGACATACGATATTCTACACACATTCTCAAATCTTTCGGAAAGAATATCTAATTTACTATTGAACAAAATTACAAAGAAACTAAACGGTAATAACTATAATTTTATTTTGATGCATAAAATTTCGATTTTTGTTGCTCGCTGTGTTTTTGTGAATTAAAAGCGTCTCGTTGTCAAAGTGATCTCTATAAACTTAAATTTAATTTCATGGTTGGCTCGTTTGTGCGATTTTTATTATGAATTTGTTATGAAGGATCGAAAACTCACTCATTCGCTACGCTCACTTGTTCGTTTTGCGATCCTTCACAACTCGTGCATAAAAATCGTACGTACTCGCCAACCATGAAGTAATCTCTATATATTTATTAATACAGCGCCATCAAAACCCGAGATAGCGACAAAGAGATATAGATTTTGATAATCAACTATCGTCACGCATTGCCAAGAACGAATTACGAAGGCTCTATGATAATAGAAATAATACCCAGGTTTCCTTGCAGCTATTAGCAAAAATATTGTCCTTTCTACTCCCTTGATCATATTTCATATATATTTCATTATTGCAAATCAAAATGGCGTCTAATAAAGGTCTAAGACAGCTTTTTCCATTTCAAGTTCTTATAAAAAGCTTCATCAGAAATCTAAGCAGAATCGACATAAAAAACCACGGAAATAAAAACGTCAAACGGATCTACGTGTCTATGAAGCAACATCGTCCGCACAAAAAATAGTTCTCGAATTGCATGAATCTTAAATTATGACAATCTTTCCTTGCTTTGGGAACCTTTGGGAACGAGGAATTTTTAATTTGTGTTGTTTATGAAGCAAAATTGGCGAATATTAACCTTAATTTGGGTTTATCGATGCGAACAGTTGCGTAGCCAGCATCGATAATTGTGTTAACAGGCTGTTTACAGCCGATCGATTTCAAAAGGAATTTGTGAAGCACAACATGAATTTTAAAAGGATATTGATATAATACATGAATATGGCCCCCTAATTATCGATGCTGGCTTCGCCACTGGATGCAAAGCATAATATGTGCATGGTTATCAACTATTTTGTCATTTTTCTTTCGACGTAGGCTTGTAGGTTGTGGAGAATGTAGACGCTTTAATGCGAAGAATTAATGTGAACAAAAATGAAATCGCCCAGGAAGTTTGGCGCAAGCTTTAATTAGGATAGTTTATAAATGAAAATATTTTTTTTAAGTCACTATAATTATATGGTGCATTGAACATCCACCGGCTTGAAGTGTACAAAATTATTGATTGAACATAGTCAATTACATTAGCAAAAGTATACTTTGTGTGCTACCGACGTTTGCGTGCTATTACCGACCGACGTCGCGTTTAATGGGCCCTTTCAGCTTGTACGCAAATTAACCCATTTTGAGTCACATGGTCTGAAATGGTTAAGTTTTATTGGCTATCCCATGGTCACAACATTTAAAAAAGGGTTAATTTGCATGCAAGCTGAAAAGGTTTATTAACGACCCCTTTGCCAAAATGGGGATGTGCCCCCAAAATACAATTTTTACGGAATTTCTCTCTCCTCGATACTCTCTCCAGTTCTTTTGAAGGCGTGTTTTTCTCGCGTAGCTCCTTCCATAATTGGCAAATTTTATTCAAATCGGCTTTGTGATATGTTGACATTTAGAGAACGCAAATGCTTATATAGAGACGCCATGTTGTTGTTCAGCTAACGGTTTGCTTTCTGATTATACAAGAGCCTTCGTTTACACGGTGGAGTATCGCGGGCTCGGGGAACAAGGTTGCGTGTGACCTAATCGAAAGTTAATTGCACTGATCATGGGTTACATCAGTTTAACGGAGAAGAAAATCCTAGATTTGTCAATTTTTTTAATTATGACGAGAATGATTTGGATAATTCGTGTTATCGTTTTTACATGACCTTTCCTCAACTTAGGTACGCTACTACTTTTGAATTTTGCCGTGGAATTGTTCTGGGATTTTCAGCGCAATTCTCCTCTTTTCGTGGATGCGAATAAGCGAATAGATATGAATGCTATGCGAATGTCGTCACCAATTACCTTTGTTTATTGATTATAACCATTTGCTAGCTTAAACCACATTTTTAGTTTACAATTATCTTTCTTTATGGCACTATATAATGAGACTGATAGAAAGACCTTTGTATACTACACCGTCGTAAATGCATTTCATTTGGGTTCCATAATATTTAGTAAGCAATTTAATTTATACAAATAAGTAAATCGTGTTATGCCTGGTAGTATGACTATGATCTAACTGAGGTAACGCTGAGGTAACTGCAGAAAGAAAGAGGTTTAAAATGTATAAGCGTTTTATGAATAAATAATTTGTGAAATTCCCTACTATATTAATTTTTATGTTCATTTAAATACATATTTCGCCATTTCGCCGTGATACCTTTTAATACATCATTCTATATTTCTTTCATTTTGATATTAAGGCTTTCCTAATTGCAATACTTTCGCACTTTGTAAATATGTTACTGAAGCAATGTCAATTAGTAATAATTAAACCAGCTACGTGGAATCTCTGAGCACTTCACAAGAAATAATATAGCCATGTATATTATATCTGTTATATTATTCTAAAGCCTGAACTCGGTTTCTACGACTCCCGGGAAAGTAGTCTCGTGTTGTATTTTTATAATCTATATGCATGTATGGAATTATTGAAAACAGACGGACAAATAATCAGATTGAGTATAACAGAACAATATGAGCATTTGAAATGTGTCGTCACATGATTTTCCCTATCTTTCCCGTGTCGAT